GCCGGGACGGCCCTGCGCGACCCCAGCACACGAGGATCGCGCTCTTGTGCTCAGCGCTTTAGCGTCGTGTGCGTCCTCCTCAAGGGAACTTGGAGCTGTTTGGCCACCGGCAGGGGAAGGCGCACTCACTACGCGAACTGTACGGCGGCGTTTGGTAGATAGTGGACTGCACGCGCGTCGTGCGATACAGCGGATTCCAGTAACACCCGTACACCGTAGCATACGTCACATGTGGGTCGACGCTAGGCATTAGTGGGTTGCCGAGTAGAGGGTCATTTTGTATTCCGACGAATCAAGATTCGAATTGAGCACCGGCTCACGACAACGTCCGACCGCACATCGGGCGTGTTTTACAGACCTTTGTGGAAGAGCACCCTATACGAATGCTTCCATGGCCAGCTCGTTTTCCGGATCTGAATCCAATCGAACATGTTTGAGACATGACTGGTCGGATACTTCAACCCGGCTTCCCCGGCTAACGTTGAGGAGCTATGGAAGCGAGTTGAGGTGGCATGGTTGGCCATCCCTCTCGCTACAATACAGCGACTTATAGACTCCATGCCACGTCGTGTAACGATGGTACGCGAAGCTCACGGGGGATACTCTCGCTATTGATGTTTCTCCTTCCAGCACAGTTGTGCCGCTCTCCATGTGAGAGTAAGTTACAATACTTTAGTACTACTTCTATACCAACTTTTTTTGCGCTAGATACACGCGTTCAGATTATACAGGTGTGCTCGTGAATTATTTCCAACCGTGTATTTGGTTCTATTGTAAAAAGAAATTATCTCCGGTTTCGCTTACCCCTCATAATTCTTGAAAGAATTAAGATATCTGGTTTTGGTTTATGGGGTTGTGTTTCTTTTTCCATTTCCTTTAAAATAAGGTAAAACTGGATAGGGGTTGCTATTTAAAAATGTAGGAGTGGTCATCCCCTAAAAAAACTCTACATTGCATGGAAGTTCTAAACTATCTAAAAATGTAGTTTTTTTGATTCTGTAGTGATCCCCAAATTTTGAAATTTTTTTCTTCACTTGTTCAAAACTTATAGCGCCGTCCCGCGAGTTTTGGGATACTCTGTATATAGCTAAAGTATTTTCCAGATTCATCGTTGAAATGTAATATGAAACGGTTAAAAAACGCAAGGTAATTCTTTGCTTAAACGATGTATTTTCTTAAATTTATGTCGGTGCGACACGTGTTTCGCCAATATGGCATCAACAGGCACGACTAATGCGGTGAATAATAATCATTATTCATGGGTGTAGAGTTAATTTCATCATAATTTAATAAAATTATCAAGTAGGTGGTAAGCCATGTAATCAACTTGACAAATTAATAATTATTTGAAACTTCAAATATTAACGACGCGGTGAAAACGAAAAAGGCAGTCATGGGCAGCTAATCTTTGGTTACGTAATACTCAAGAGTCTAAAGAATGATATGATACCTGCCCGGTCACTTAATTATGTTTAATTATTAACTTTTAGTCTATGTAAACATAATTTTTTTCGTCGCGGGCACGTGATGACACAGTAGATGTTTACATTTTTTGTTGCTAGGTGTGAGGTTGATATGAAAAACTGTAATGATATAGAAAATGTACTTACTTCCAGGAGAAGATTCCATTTTGTAGAATTGAAATAGCTGAATTCTACTTGAAGTTAATACACTTTTAACACAACCGAAGTTTTAAAACGTAGCGCACGACCGACGCTACTTGTTCGCACGCTCCGTTCCGAATAAGATCCTACCAACGGCTAAACGCAACATCTGACAGTTCCCGACCCTTGAAAGGGACGCTAGTAATATCCCTCTACCTGACCCAATACTTAGAATTCCTTAAATAAAAACTTCATTTTTCAATTTTTGGCCAGCAATTTGGGATTTGAGACCACTGTGCAGCGGGCGTTTAACGTAATCCTAGCGTTTTCTATCTCCTCGTTGCCTGAATACACTACAAAAGAGGCTCCGATGCCTTCCTCGCTACGAGAGCCATCAGTGTAGATATTGTGGTGGCATATAGAAACTTTATTTTAATTAATTCAAATAAATACGAAACAATTAACATAAAAAAATTTAAATGCAATTTAACTCTCAACACTGTTCTACAACGTTGTCAATTTGTCAAATGACTCAGGTAAGCTGGTGAGATTTCAGGGTTATTGTGGGTTCAACACTTGAGTAAACGAGTACAAAAATAAATAAGTAAATTTTTACAAAACTGAGTGAAATAATTAAAAATATTAACTTGTAATTAATACGAAGTAAATGAATTAACCAGTTTTAATAATTGTATTATACGTAATGAAATTGTAATAACATAACCAAACAAAATAATAACTCAAATTAATCGTATTTAAGGAAATGAAATTTTAAGTGAAAGTTAAAATCAAAACAACGAACAACAATGAAATTGAAAATTATAACTTACAATTAGCTTAATCTTGTAGATTACTGAAGTTCTCGGGTAAGGAAACTTGCTCTTCAAAAGGAATCGGTAACAAATATTCTTGATTGGATAGGAATAATTCTTCGGGATCGTATACTGGATTATATGGATCAGGAACAAGTTAATTTTCTTGTTTATTATTAAAGGTGAATAATTTTAATTCAAATAATCTTCTTAATTAACTTATTAAATAATAAGTTAACTATTTTTGTGGTTATGGCACAATGGTGATTGACAGGTAACCTAACTTATGTTTTGGTTTTTTAAATGATCGCGGACAAAATTTGCGTGCATTCCTCGTCACGTTCGAAATCATACTAAAATCAGCGGGCGGACACGCAATAGCAGTGTTGCCAGTCAACTCTCACAAAATTATGGTATAGGTTGTTTTTGAGTTGATTGGTATAAATTTTGACACAAAATTGCCAAGCTGCAAAAACATCAGTTAGTTTCGATGTTTTGAACCAATATTCATCTATATTACTTTCTGCCTTTATATCATCTGGTATTTTACTATGGATGTACAAACGCCATTAATCATCTATTGCTTGAATATGTTCTTTTTCATTTTCATTAACTATTCTAGATACGTTTTTAATTATAGGGTATAAACTGTTTGGTTTGCTGTCATAGTTAGGATCAAATATAGCTATTTGGGATAATATGTGATCGTTGAAGTTAAATCTTTTCTGAATTTCTAGGCAAAACACAATTAAAAATTTGCGACATTTATTATAAAAGTCCTGTTTATATTCTGTATCTAATTTGTCAATATTATTTAGAACTTCAACTCCTAAGTACATATATTTAATACTAACAAATTCTGTACTTAATTGTGGGTCAATACTATCTGAATGGTTTCGATTTACACAATTTTGGTTAAAATACGTTAATAGTAATGTTTTGTATGTTTCGGTATCTTTAGTGTGGACTGCTGTTAAAACAACCCTTTCACTTTGAAAACAGTCATTTAAATTTGTAAATTTTGGCAATATCTACTGCAAAAAGTAATAAAACAATTTTATTTTATGGTCATTAAGGGATATGAATGTATGTTTGGATGACTGCAGCCTATGATATAAATATTCTTGATTAAAATATACTTGTAAAAGTGCCCATTGCTGAAGTAAGCTGAGTTTGGGAGGGTTATAAAATTTTGTGCGGTTCGACATTACAAAAGTGTTGGAATTCTTTAAACTGAGCCTGTCTTTTGGAACTGTTTTTGAAAAAAATATGTACGTTGTGAGCCAAATCCTCACAGAGTCGAGGTAAAATTTTGCAAACTGCAGAAAAGTTATTAGTTAGCCTACTAAGTACAGAGTTATTTGACCCAAACATTGTGTTGCACCCATCAGATGCAAACTCTATTAAATTATCTAAATTAACCTTTTCTGATGTTAATGTACCAATTACTTTATTATAAATGTTTCAGCAGTTATGCGTCTATTAGTTTCTTCTGAATCATTTTGAAAACATTGAATTAAGCTTAAAGATATTTTACCTGACTCATCATTAAACGTACACAAACGCAAATATTTTTGACACTGATAATGTCTGTTGATTCGTCTATTAATAAACTAAACTTTCTTCTTCTCATGGCCTCTACAAGTTTATCTCTTTGTGATTTTCCTAACACATTTTTAATAATGTTTGTTGCTTTGGTTCTTCCCATTGAAATATTTTGTGCGATTTTCGAATCAGGAAAAGCAGTTTTTAATAAAGATACCAAACGTTCATAAACATTCACTGATAAGTCGTGTTCTGCAATTAACCCTGCAATTCTTATTTCTGCCTTTTGGATCTCCTCTTTTTGTTCTGTATTTTTTTTAAACATTTGTAATACGGTTTGTTGTTTTTTCCTAATATTGCAGCGTTCGTACGATGCTTTTCACTCTTTCCATGATTTTTTATGACTGTTAGATCTGCTGTAAATACAACATCACAAAGTAAACATTTACCTTTAAAAGGTTTTCCTGAAAACAGAAAAAAATTGTCTAAACAGTAGGTAATAAAAAGCAAGAAGTTATAACTTTAATTCACAAACCTTTAATTTCTTCAAGCCAATCCTTAAAAATTGGATTTGATTTCCATTCCATTCGAAATTTTTTAGGATTTATTTTCCTACGATACTACTATACGTTTGATACGTATATATTTTTTTCTTTCATCGGTTTCTGAGTCTGAATCAGAAGCTTTTCTCTTCCTTATACCGCTTGTACTTGCCATTTCACACACAATTTTTTCTATTTCACCGAAAACGCACTACAGTCACATACATGAAACAACGCTTTAAAAATGATGTAATGATCATGCAACTGCGAACTGCGAGTAAAGATTTTAGAACAATTTAAGTAAAGTACCGAAAAATGTTTATCACTATCTGAACCATGTGGTGTGTGAAGTACCGAAGTGCATTACAGAGATATATTGAATGCGATTTTTAGTGTTTCTGCTATTTAATATTAGATGTTATTTTTTTTATGTAATTTTAGATAGCGATACTCAGGATCACTAAGAAAAGTCATTTTTAATTGATTTTTATATTGTCATGAATATAATAGAAACAATTCGAAATTATGTTAAAATTATCAAATTATCTCTTCACGACGCGCCACGACGCTCAACTTCAACTAGAATACAATCTTCAGTTGAACCTTCAAAGTCAGGAACAGTTTTCGCGCCCATACAAGAACAACCGAGCATCACCGCTAATGACTTAACCGTATCGAATCATCTTTTACATTCGCACCACATTCATGCTCCGGTACTGTTGGCTACAGCTTTAGTACGGATTGAATCATCGCGTGGACAGTCCGTCATCGTTCGACCCCTTATTGATCAAGGATCCGAAGTTTCTTTCATCACCGAGTCACTTGTACAACAGCTTCAACTTCCACGAAAATCAGCAAGTATTCCTATTTCCGGAATTGGTTCACAACGTACAAGTATTTCAAACGGAATTGTTACAGTTCAATTAAGTTCGCAATTCAATCCATTTCTTTCATTTAACGAAGAAGCGTTAATATTGCCGAAATTAACCGCTTATTTACCTCAAAAATATTCTGCTCAGTTACCGATTGAGCTACTGAATTTACCGTTAGCCGATTCAGATATCTCATCATCAAAAAGAATTGATTTGATTCTTGGTGTGAGTTTATATTCTAAAATTCTTCAAAATGGTGTTAAACGAAGCAGTGATGGTTCTTTGATTGCTCAGCAAACCGCGTTTGGATGGATTCTTTCCGGCGTACTGTCGAATCAATCACAATCAAACTTCAACCCGTATGGTTTTCAGTGTTCGATAGATCGTGAATTCGCGGATTTAATGCAAAAGTTCTGGACGATAGAAGAAGAATCAAGTTCTAAGCCGTGTTTATCTACCGACGAAATTGATTGTGAGAAACATTTCGTCAATTCACATTCGCGTGACAGCTCTGGACGTTTTATTGTTCGTTTACCATTTCGAAAGTCTCCGCGTGAATTGGGAAATTCTTATATGATCGCTGTTAAGACTTTTTCTCGTTCCGAGTTAAGATTCGCGCGGGATGAAAGCTTCAAGACCGCGTATAGCAAATTTATGCGCGAATATCTCGATTTAAATCATATGCGTCCCGTTACAGTGCCAGTCGAATCACCCAACTTCTATCTTCCGCATCACGGGGTGATTCGCGAATCTAGTACGACTACTAAGCTTCGTGTCGTGTTCAACGGATCACAAAAAACATCATCTGGATTATCGTTAAACGATTGTCTTCATACTGGTCCGAAACTTCAAAGTGAACTTGTTGATGTTCTTCTAAGGTGGAGACGCCATCCCGTCGCGTTCGCGTGTGACTTAGAGAAAATGTATCGTCAAATTGACGTTCATCAAGATGATTGGCAGTTTCAACGAATCGTCTGGCGTGAAAATCCTTCGGAACCTCTTCAAAGTTACGACCTGACAACGGTAACCTACGGACTTTCATGCGCACCATATCTCGCAATTCGTTGTATTCGACAGTTAGCAGAAGAACATGTTGAAGAGCAGCCTCTCGGTTCTTCTGCTCTTTTTCGCGACACTTACGTGGACGATATCATTTCCGGTGCTAATGACATTGATGAAGTTCAAGAATTAATCTTTCAATTAAATCGAGTTTTAACGGCGGGCGGTTTCCTAGCGCGAAAGTGGATTTCAAATGTTTCAGAAGCGCTCGCATATGTTCCTTCAGACCTTCTATCCGATACAGAAACGTTGCGTGTTCAAGATGACAATTCCCCTCGCGCATTGGGTATTCTTTGGAACAATTCGACCGATGACTTTCTATTTTGTTTCAATAATGACGATTTTGACTTCCGAGAACTTACTAAGCGTAAAGTTCTATCATTCATTGCGCGTTTATTCGACCCCCTCGGGTGGCTTTCTCCGATCATTGTAACTGCGAAGATTTTTATGCAAAATTTGTGGACTTGCAATCTCGAATGGGACGAAATCCTTCCGCATGACCTTTCTCTTCAATGGAACGAATACACTAACTCTTTTCAAACGTGTCCGGTAATTCGCATTCCGAGATGGCTTGGAATTACTCGCGATTGTTCTTCGATTGAATTGCACGGGTTCGCGGATGCTTCGACTAGTGCCTTTGGTGCGGTAGTATATCTTCGCGTTTCAAGAGCTGATGATGTTCGCGTTTCTCTTCTTTTTTCTAAAACGAAAGTGGCACCTCTTAAACGCGTAACCATTCCGCGACTTGAATTGTGCGCCGCCGTGTTGTTAGTTCGGTTGATAAAACGCGTTCGGGCAACACTGGATTTCAACGAAGTTCCAATTTTTCTATGGAGCGATTCTACGGTGGCACTTTCTTGGATCTGCAGTCATCCTTCAAGATGGAAAGATTTCGTCCGGAATAGAGTAACAGAAATTCAGGAGCTTTCTCATGTTCATTGGCGCTACGTTCCGACGAAAGAAAACCCAGCCGATTTGTCTTCCCGTGGAGTTTCAGTGACGAAACTTGAAGCCGAAACGTTATGGTGGAATGGACCGTCTTGGCTTCGCTCACCACCCTCAGAATGGCCATCTCTTCGGACCAATTCGGATGCCAAAGAAATTCCAGAAGCACGTTCTATCCATACATCCAACACCGCAACTGCTATGAAAAAAGGATGGGATTTAAAGTTGAAATATTCGTCGTTGAACAAGCTTCTGCGAGTCACTGCTTGGTGTAAGAGATTTTTTCATAAAGTAAAGACTAATTCAAAGTTTTCAGACATACTTTCTCCTGATGAACTGAACGACTCTTTAATGTTCTGGGTGCGCGAGTGTCAACAACTTCATTTCTCGGACGAAATTCAAATTCTAACGGACGGCCGTGTAGTGCCGCGTTCAAGTTCTCTTTTCCGACTTTCTCCGTTCATAGACGGTAAAGGTTTTCTACGAGTGACCGGTCGCCTTCGATTTTCAAATTTGGATTGGAATGAGAAGCATCCAATCATCCTTCCAAAAGATTCGCCAATTACGATTCTTCTGATCGACAAACATCATCGAGCTACGTTGCATGGAGGAACTCAACTAACTTTATCTTCAATCCGACGCCATTTCTGGATCGTTGGAGGGCGAGTACCTGTCCGTTCGTTCATTCATCGATGTATGATTTGTGCGAAACAACGAGCAGTCATCAGCCAGCAGTTGATGGGCCAACTTCCGCCTTCAAGAGTCATATCATCCCGCCCGTTTCTACACACCGGTGTTGATTACGCCGGACCTTTTCATTTGAAGCATCTTCGAGGACGTGGTAGTAAGACGTATAAAGGTTATCTTATTCTGTTTGTTTGTTTAGCCACTTCAGCCGTCCATTTAGAAGTGGCCACAGATTATTCAACTTCGGGATTTCTTGCTGCGTACAAGCGATTTTCCGGAAGAAGAGGTATCAGTGAATGCCTCTACAGCGACTGTGGCACGAATCTTGTTGGAGCTGACCGTGAGCTGCGTTCCATGTTTTCTGCAGCGTCCAAAGAATGGAAAGAAATGGCTAGTCTCTTGAGCTGCGACGGCACTCGATGGAAGTTCAATCCTCCCGGAGCACCACATTTCGGTGGAAAGTGGGAGGCCGGAGTAAAATCCGTTAAAGGCCATCTTCGAAAAATTGTCGGATCGAAGAATTCAACACCGTTTTGATTCAAATTGAGGCCGTGCTAAATTCAAGACCTCTATGTTCAATATCTGACGATCCGAACAATTTTGATGTTCTGACTCCGGCTCACTTTCTCATCGGTAACGCTCTCACCGTTGTTCCTCCTTGTAGACTCTCTCGATGGCAGCTTCTTCGTCGTATGGTCGAAGATTTCTGGAAGATTTGGGAAAAGTTTTACTTACAATCCATGCAGAACGCTACGAAATGGTTCAATCAACAAAATCTTCCTCAAATTGGACAGCTTGTACTCATTCGAGATGAAAGATTACCTCCGGCGAAATGGTCTCTAGCAAGAATTCTTCAAATTCATTCCGGTGCCGATGGCCACGCTCGCGTCGCAACGCTCAAAACCGCAAATTCAACGCTTGTTCGTCCGTTCGCTAAGTTAAGCATTTTGCCATATTGTACAAATTAGTAATGTTATTCAATTCTAGTTATTTTTTCACATTTCATTCAGTTTCATTTAATTCAGTCTTTTATTGTTAATTTCTTTCTAATTATTTCATTACTTTATTTAATGTAAAAGTTTGTTTTCCTGCCGCCATTTTTTTCTTATTTAGTTTGTAATCATTTCAGTTAGGGTCAATTTTCAAATTATTGTATTTTTTTTTTTAATTTTCTGTTGCCATTCGGCAAGGCGGGCGGTAATGTTCAAAGTTTTTATAATTTATATATTAGTCGGCCGTTCCGTATTTTATTCGTTATTGTTATTCAGTTGTTCTTTCGAGTTGTTGTAGTCAGAGGTTGTAGTTGACATCAAAAAGCGTAATAAATCGTTCCGTGTAATTTTCGTTAAAAAGTAGTTTCAATCGTGATAATACACAAGTTCGATAGAAGCACTTCGGCTTTTATTTGCTATTCGAAGAGATACTTCTACTTATTCTACAAGAACAGTAAGATTTTTCCTTTTTGACAGTTTTTTTCTAACACACGCGTTTTTAAGTAACTTTCTATAAGCGTCTCAGATTTTTCCCGCGCCGGTTTCGACTATTTCTTAACAATTATAATATGAAAATGTATTAATATTAATTTATTTAATAAATAATAGTAACATTGTATTCTCGCGACTAAGTGTGGTAGCCTAAATATTAATTCGCTTAATTTTAAACTCTTTGTCTCCTCGCTACCACCACCTCCCCCTTCAACTGTCTGTAATAGGAACAATTTTTTTAGGATGTCATTTTGCCCATTTTTTCAGATACAAGTTTAAAGTAATAAGAAGGCTTAATTATAACAAAGCGTAAATAAAAAGCGTATATATAGCATTAATAAAAAAGCGTTTGACATTTAGGATGTCATGATCAATCAACAAGAATTTGAAAGTAATAACAGAACATAATAATAACAGAGCATTAATAAAAAGCGTTTAACGTTTAGGATGTCATGTTGCTCCTTTTTTTCAGAAATAAGTTTAAAGCTATAAGAAGGCTTAATTATAAATTATAACAGAGCGGAAATAAAAAGCATATATATAGCACTAATAAAAAAGCGCTTGGCATTTAGGATGTCATGATCAATTAACCAGAAGTTGACAGTAATAACAACATAATAATAACAAGCGTTTAATATTTAGGATGTTCATGTTGCTCCTTAAATAAGTTATGAAGTCCAAAGGAGTTTTAAAAAAAGATTTATTTAAAACTTTACAGACAAATTAAGATAAACAATTGGTAAATCTTACACCAGCATAAATTCTGGGTAGAAGAATACTGAATTACAAACTAAAGTGGACTACAATATATATCATTCCTAATTAGCTTACTATCTAATGGTTAAACATACTAAAGGCTAGTCTTTATTTGTATACAGTGATTATGGGCATATAACTCCTTTTTTCAGAAACAAGTTTAAACCTATAAAAAGCCTTAATTATAACAGAGCGGAAATAAAAAGCGTATATATACATAGATGTCATGTTGAAGAATTGAGTACTATGATGAAATTTTAATGAAATTTTCAACTGTCTCATTCACAGTATTCGTGGAATTTCGTAACTTTTTGTTGACAAGGTTTACGAAATGGCGGAGGACCAGGAATGTGAGGTGTTTATAAATATTTTGGGATATATCAGGATGTAAAGGACAATAATGTTGAAGAGAATCAGTGTAGGATATCTGGGAAAGAATATTGGGATGACGGATAATATTAGGAATGTTATGAAAGATATTATCCTTCATAACGGAAATAAGGTTGATGAAAGGGTAGGTATGAAGGGTATTTCAAATAAAAATTAGCATCTCTTGCGTCATCCTGTAATACTATTAATACTATTTGTTTTTTGTTGCTTTTTATGGAAATATTCCAATCTAATTGCATAAATAATCAGTAAGTTGTACTTCCTGAACCTTACAGCAGTGAAATGGGTAAAGCTGCTGCTCTTGAAGAATACACACCACACGGTCATTTATGATGTCCCAAATTGCCTAGCCATGTCCGAAGTACTAGTGGTACTATTTTCATTTACATGTTCTAACATCAATTCTTTTAATTGAGGAGTTCGAACTGATTTTGGGTTGCCGTTGTTCAAAAAATTATGTTTAAGCGATCCATTTTCTTCCTTCCTGGTTCATCCCTTCATCCCTTAACCGATTTTCAATTCGTGAAAAGGTTTTTCTGTTGGGGGTTCCACGTTTTAGGAATTTTTGCCGATAACGGTTAGCGGCTGCTACGGAGTTTTCAAAACATTCACCCAATGTTAAAAGCGTATCAGTTTGTTCTCCAATCGTGGAAGTTTCCAGTTCGGACACTACCAGTTTTTTAGTTTTTGTTCAAACGACTAAGCGTGTTTACAATTGTCAATGAATTCGTTTGCCAATTATCATGACCGACTTAGATTTTTTTGTGTTATTGAAATCGGAGCCTAACATTTTTACATTTAACACGAAAACGGTGATCTTTATCAATATTAGCTAAGAGTGGCAAAAGTTTCTAAAGAAAATTTGCTATTAGAAACTGCAAAAATTAACGTAGGGTTACCATCGAATATAAAAGTTCTGACCAAACAAATTTTAGGAACACTTGTATAGCATTGTTTCCACGGACCGATCCAAGTCATAAATTGCCTAATGATTGACGTAATACTGGACCAAATTTCAGCACATTACCATAAATAGTGTTTAAGATATTTAGAAAAATGTGTTAAAATTTCCTAACATTGATAGCTTATATCTTTACAATTTGAGGACTTTTACCAATTTTTTTATATGAATTGTCATCATTTGCGCTGTAGTATATGTGGTTACCAATCTTCCCCGTGTCATCGAAACACCCTGTATGCAATACTAACAGCTCATTCATAACAGCCTTGAAAAATATTCAATAAACTCAGAACGTGCTGTCTAGTTATTAGGAATTAAATTATCGTTTACATTGCCACCATGAGCGTATCCGTGTGGGGTGTTTCCTTTCGTAATTTAATTCCTAACGACATCACCTCCGCGCAAATGGAGCAGTAGCCAGAGTTGTTCAATATTGGTAGAGGAGTTGATAAGAGACGGGGTGATAGAGTGATAGGGGCTATCACGTCTAATAAAACGGTAACCAACTATTGAAACTAAATCATCGACAACCAAATCAGAGAGCCAGGTCTCAGAAAGAGCCGTTATGTCCATGCTCGAGTCAGGCAGAAAATCACGTAAGCTTGTAACCTTCGGCATTAATGATCTTATATTTAAGTGAGCGAATTTTAAGTTCGACATTTTAAAGCGACACAAAAAAATAAGAAAAGAATACGGCAAATCAGTACAATTCAACGGTTTGACAAGATGGAAAGTAATATAACAAATAAAATAAGTATTGGCGCAGTTTTAGTAATTTACTAGTGACTGAGATATTTTCTACAACTCACTCCGTTATCAAACAAAATAACAACAAAATTTAAAAAAAAATTAAAAGAAAAACAAATAAAAAAAAAAGAATTTTTCATAACAAAATTAATTTTATGCGCATAATAACCGGTGTTGATTTAGATGCTTACACATTAGAGGTAGAAAGCTCGTCCAAATCCGAATGGACTCCGCTCGTACAACCCGGCTGGCTGTAGTAGGAAGTCTTGCCGTGATACGGATCCGACACGGGATTCGACCTCTCCTAAACAACGATCCCAAGCAGACGATCACCCTCGGTCCGTTTGACAGAATTAAATCGGGTTACGAAGAGATCCGTCCGCGAGTCAGAACCGAGGCTCCTCCAACACCAATCAACCCTAGGGGTCCGCGATAGATCTTAATCGAGCTGCCACTCTGTCATGACGCGCAATCCGGTGCGAGTAGGTTACTGTGCAGCCTTGCAGGATATGACAGACTGTTTCAATCCTGCGGTGGCACCCACTGCACTCGCGCTGGGTTGGATGGAATTCCCTTCGATGGAAGCAGGTTGGATCGGAGTAGTATGGCGTTAACATACTCCGCACCGGTCCAGTAATTGAGAGGGCTACGTCCCTAGTCGCTGCTCGACGAAACACAGCGATCGTGGCCAAGCTAATTGCCGCTATAGCCGGCATCTAAAGCAGCAGACCCACCCCTCTTGCACGGTGCGGTTGTTATCACCGTACTGCGCCAGTCTACTCCACTGGCGCAGCATTTCTCGTACAACCCAACCGTGGATGGGAGTACGAGAATGACGGCGGTGCTGGGGTCTGCTGTTAGGCTTAGGTTGGTAAAGCGCCTCCTCAGCACCACCGGGACGTGGGTGAACAAAGACAATATACCCAAATCAGTGCCCCTTACCGGCGCATGAAGAAAGGCGTCGGGAGCCGTATCATCCTGTCCGAATTCCGCAAAAGCTTACGGGTAATCCGGGGCGTTTGGAGTACATGCAGCATCTTCGGGACAAGGTAGCTACGGACTATCTCGACCTTTTAATGAGGTTTCAGAGGCGCGCTAGCTATTCGGTTGAGGTGGTTTTTCAAATTCTCGACGATAGGCCTGGCGCAGCCCAAAGAATCGTACCAGCCGCCGAGATATTTGAAGATGTCTCCGGGTGTCAGTTGTTTAAGAAAAGAACCACAAGCATCAGACTTAGGTCTTGTATGAGAAAATAAGACCTTTTTACCAGGCACCACGGAGACGGAAAGCGCGACGCTCCTTGATGGATTGACGCTAAACCACGCTTATGGCCGTAAACCGGATGGCCGTACGCAACGCCTTTTTCGCCCCATCGATGATCTGATCGAACAAGATGAAGTCGTCAGGCACTCAAGCTCTTCCAGCACCATATTAAATAGCGCTGGGGAGAGGGGATCAACCTGCTTTACGCCGCGGGGGATGGTAATAGGGAAGTAGATTCATGTACCTTGAATCGACGAAGTTCTCGGTCTATGGAGTTATGCGAGACCGTATCAAACACCTTCCTACGATCTAAAGTCTCAACGTGACCAAAACGACCGAGGCCTCCTCCTCCAACTCAATAACCTCGGCTAGATCCATCACCGGACCGCTGTTGCCGCGTACAAGGTCTGCAAGCAGATCACAGTATTTCTTGGTGCCGCGCTTGGATTTGATGGCCATGGCAGTTTTTAAAGGGAAGCCCATAGCCATCCTCAAAACTTCTTCATCGGACCAAGCGCGGGCGGATTTTCCGCCTCGTTCTCAAGGTCTTTGTTGTATTCCGCCGGGTGAGCCATCCGTAGATGCTGCCTCATCCCGTCTGATGTGCGCCTTAACTCACTCGTCTGTGGAAAACACCTTCCCGCAGATCGGCATCGATAACGGCGGACTGGTAAATCAAAAAAAAAAAAAAAAAATTAATTTTTGTTGTGGGGGCAACGGTCGTCGGAAAAACTCAACGAACTGCAAAAAAAAATGGATATATACGTCACCCTGCACCGCTC